ACCGCAGACCCCCCAGCCCGTCCCCTTTCTTTGTGTATCTTTGAGGCAAGGTTTCACTGTGTGGCTCGAATTTAGACTTCAGAATCTTCCCAGGGCTGGGAGCACAGGTATGAGCCCACACTCGGGGCCGGTCAATATAAATTAATTAAAATTCAGTTTGCCACTGATAGGGATCAGCAGTGCTGCCCCAGCCTAGAAGGCCCCAGTGCGGGGCTGGGGCGTGCTCCCGGGTAGAGTGACAGACTAGAATCCTGGCTCCTGGTTGTTAACACTAGAGTCTTCCCTAAAGGGTGCAGCTCCTTGGCCCTTCATGCCATTTCCAGGGAAGTTTGGAAGAGGCAAACTAGCATTCTTCAGAGCTTGAAGTTGGTGCCCTCAGAATCTAGACTACACCCACCGCTGTGAGCAGGAGGTACAGTCGTCCCTTAGTACCCACAAGGATTGGCTCTGGGACCCCAAGTATGGTACAACGGATGCTCTGGCCCCTTCTACAGTGGCACCCTGCTTCTTATCTGCTCACCCCTCCTATAGACTTTATAATGTCCCTAGATGAGGCAGGAGAGACGGTTCAGCGGTAACGAGCACTGGCTGCTCTTGCAGAGGACCCCAGTTTAGTCCCCAGCACCCTCAATGCAGCTCACAACCATCTGTAACTTCAGCTCCAGGGGGTTCTGACGCCCCCTACTGGTCTCCACGGGCACTGCATGCACATGGTGCACAAATACATGCAGGCGAAGGGCTTGTAACAGATAAAGTAAAATAAATAAATGTAAAGAAGAAAGTCTCTGGATGGGACGCTGGGAATGCTGTGTGAACGGTTGTTCTGAGGGGGCACTGTGCTTCATGTCTGTGGTCCCAGCTGAGAGGTCGGGGGCGGAGCTCCAAGCCTGGGCTGCACAGCAACACCCAAGAAAACACCAGATGTGGTGGTACATGCCTGTTCTCAGAGGCTGACACAGACATTCCAAATCTGAGGCCAGGATGGGCTAAGTCTCAAAACAAGGAAAATGCAGCAGTCTGTACATACGCAGTACACATGCAAATGCTGCTTTGTTATTGAGATAGCACAGGGCACAGCCCAGGCTGGCCTTGAAATGATCCACCTGTCCCCACTCCTAGGTGCTGGAATGACAACTGTGCACATCCACACCCTACTGAGTACTTTCCATCGAGTTGGTGGAATTTTTGGGTGCAAACCCTGAGAGTGGGGGGCTTGGCCACCCACTCTGCAGCCTGTGGGTTTTCATTAAGGACTCAGCCTCAAATTTATTCCCTCCTGAAACCGCATCAGCCAGACCCCAGCCCTGTACCTTGAAGGCTTCCCGTCGCTGGTACTCCAGTTTGGCCATCTCCTCGGCCACCCAGCCCGGGATGTCGGGGATGGCTGCATGGATGAGGTACTTGACTAGCAGAGCCAAGTGCTGTGGGGACAGACAAATGAGCTGCAGGCGCAGGGATGCCTGGCTTCCCCACCCAGCTCCCACCCCTGGGCCACCAGCCCCACCTCTAGCACCACCACAGATACGATGGCTGCCTCTGGGCTGAGCCAGGGGAAGAGCCGCTGCAGCTGGCCACACTGGCCAATGAGGTAGCAGTTCACCACGATGGCCAGCACGCCCATCGCCTCCATGACCTTCTGCAAGGGAGCAGGAAGCTCAGGGGCAGGTCCAGCCAGGGACTGCCATCCCCTCTGGGCCTCCCTGACAGGCCCACCTGCCACTGGCCAATGCTCTCCACACGCTGTCCAAAGGGCCGCTGTAGGCCGGTGCATAGCTTGAAGGCATCACTTCGGATCTCAATCAGGTTGTTGACTAGGGCACACAGGGCAGCCAGTGGAAAGGCAGAGGAGAAGAGCACTACGTAGCCAAACTGCACGAACATCTCCTGGTAGTCCTGGAACGTGTCCTGAGGACAGGGGCTCCCATCAGGCTTGTCACTGCTCCCTCAATTCATCCTGATAGGCCCAGGTTCTCTCCCCATCTTCTGACTCTGTCTTCACAGGTCGGAAAGTACTAGCACCCAGCTGGGCTCCTGTGCTCACCACACCAATGGTCCCATGTTTACCCTGACATCTCCACCTGCAAACTCCACTCCACATGCACTCCTGTCCTGTGCCCCCCCCCAGTGGAAATGGGGGGGGGCTTTTTATTTCTTTGTATGGTCTGCACCAGTGCATTTGGGAGCTTGTGTGGAGGCCAGGGGTTAACTGTAGACACCCTTCCTCAGGCACTGTCCACCCTGACTTTCTGAGTGGGGTTCAGAGCACAACTTTCGGTCCTCTCCTTCCCCCAGGGAGGTTCCATGAGTTGGACTGAGGCTGTCAAGGCTGTGTGGCAAGTGCCTTTACCACCTTAGCCAGTTCACTAGTCTTTATTTTTCTTTTAATTTAAATTGCATTTTATTTATGTATGTGTGAATTCCTGTGTGTCTGTGTGTGTACAGGTCCCCAGAAGCTAGAAGGGAGTGTTGAATCCCTTGGAGCTGGAATTAGCAGCTTTTGTGAGAAGCTAATGTGGGCGAAGGAATCTGCCCAGGCAGCACTCTGTTTATTTATTGGTTTCTCTGTGTAGCTTTGGAGGCTGTCCTAGAATTTGCTCTATAGACCAAGTTGGCCTCAAACTCACAAAGATCCACCTGCCTCTGCCTCCCAAGTGCTGGGATTAAAGGCGTGTGCCGCCACCACCTGGCATCTCCATCCACCGCGGGACTCCTGCTTGTTTTGTAAGGCAGGGTATCCTGTAGCGCAGGCTTGTCCAGAAGTTAATATATATAAGAGAATGGTCCTGATCTTCTGGTCTCCCTGCCTCCACCTCCCAGTGCTGGGACAGTAAGCATGCTCCACCATGCCCAGTTTATGTAGTGCTGGGCATAGAGCCCAGCGCTCTGTGCGTGCTAGACAAGCTCTCTAACAACTCAACTATCAACACAGCCCTATTTGATTCTCTTTTGAGTTCCGTATTGACCAAGCTGTCCTCTAACTCCCAATCTTGGCTTTCACCCCCCAGGTGAGGCGGTGGCTCCGCCCTCTCACCTCATACTTCTTCATGCAGCTCTCCAACTCTGCCTGCGTGAGCTGCGGAGAATGCTCCTCCTCTGGCGGGTCGATCCAGGAGGACCTGTTGTGCCTCCTCTGTCTCCCAGCAGTGTCACTGGAGCCGGTCTCCGGGTCTCGACCTCCATCAGGACCCTGGTCGCGACCCTCGCCACCAGCACGACGGAGCAAGATAGTCGGGGGCTCTGGCCCGGGGCTACCGGGAGGCCCCTCCGACTCATCATCTTCCTCAGCCAGCGTAAACACGCCTGGCTCCAGCCCTTTCTCCACCATGGTGGGGCTCCCCTCCTCCAGGAGGCCATCGGAGCCCGGGCCTGGCCTGCGCCGCCCTGCGCCCCGCTCCGCAAAGCTGACCTTCTTAAGGCGCAGCCCACAGTCCAGGAGGCCACCTTCCTCTCCCTCATCTTCGTAGTCCTCCTCGTCCTCCTCGTCCTCCTCGTCCTCCTCGTCCTCCTCCTTGACACCCCGAGGCCCATCTGGGACCTCTCCGCCTTCCCCTGCCGGCCTCCGCTCCATCGGCGTCTCTTCCTCTTCCTCGGGAGCCCCGCAGCCTCCGCCCAGACACTTGTGGCTCCCCGCTCCTCCCTCATCAGCCTGGGCTTCCAGATGCCGTCGAGGATCTGGGCGCAAGGGGTTCAGCAGGCCCAGCAGGGCCCGGGCCAATTCCCCGACGGCGCGCAGACCCAGCTCCCCGCGGCCCAGCCTGCGGTACAGGTGAGGCTGCAGCACCTCGCGCAGGTTCTGCAGCAGCTGCCGGGTGATGAGCAGAGTGGCCAGCATCTGCAGGCAGAAAGAGGCCACGTGGGGCGGGCGGGGCCTGGCACCACAGGGTCACACACTCAAAGAAGCACATGCCCTTCCAAGTGGCTCCTGCAGCCCACCTCCACCCCGCAACCCTGGACACGAGGCTGCAGCTCAGCCCCAGTGCAACTGCGGTAGGCAGCTGAGCAGTGCAAAACACAGACAACCTGCACAGCGGCCCGGATTCTCAGCGCATCTGTCTCCACCCGCTCAGGCATCGCCTAGGACGCTGGGCTCTTTGATAGACCTTCCTCGACCTGCACTGGGGACCCTTTTGCACATGCACCCTATGCTCGCCGTGCCCCACCCGCAGCATAGCCACGCTGCCCACACCGTGGCGAGGCGCGCCACCTGCCCGTACTTTGGCCGGGGCCGCGAGTAGGAAACCCCGGAGGGACAGGAGGAGCAGGCGGAACCTCAGGGCCACGAGCGGGACCAGCGCCGCCCGCAGCTGCCGCTCGAGGCTCTGGGTCAGGGACAGGAGTAGCAGGAGCTGTGGAGGGACCGACGGGACAGGTGGACGGACAGATGGGAGAGGGGAACGATGGGTAGAGAGGACAGACGGACAAAAAGGAGAGAAGGATGGAGGAGGGGGGGAGGGGCTGGAGAGCCCTGGACCCCTTACACGAGTCCGTCCCCAGGGGGTCAGGGTGCTGCCCCTGGGGCTGTGGGCAGGCCCTCACCTCTTTCAAGCGGTCCATGTCTTTGAGGTAGAAGCCGATGTAGAACAGACTCAAGTACGAGTTGACAAACTGGAACTGGGAGGCAGGCGGCTGGGGTCATCCTGCAGTCCCGCTTAGCGGGTCCCCCAACCCCTCTCCCATCCTCTAGCCTCTTTGGACATGCTTGTTCACTCACCAAGACGACTTTGATGATAAGGTGCCTCTCGTAGGCGCTCTCTAGCCGGTAATTCTCTAGGAGCCGAGGAGGTGAGTGAGGGGCCACCCTGCCCCCTCCCGAGGCCTATAGGGATCCCCGGGACGGTGGGGCCTCCCCTGCCTACACATACCCATGTCGTTGAGCCACACAGCTAACTTCTTGTAGCCCTCTGCGCTCACGCTGACCAGCAGGGCCAGCATGACCTTGGGCAGGAAGCGCACCAGGCGGGGCAGACCCTTCACGCTCAGGACCAGCTCCTAAAAGGGAGACAAGGCAGGGGGCTCAGCCGAGTGAAGCCAGGCCTGGTGCTCCGTGAGCAGAGGCTAGGGGAAGGGCGGGGCTGTGGGGTCACCTGCAGCTGGAAGCAGCCGAGCATCAGGACGAAGACACAGACAAGACAGGCCAGACACAGAGGCAGGCTGACGAGCAGCTGGAAGAGCAATCGCTTCCAGGGCGGGTAGTAGAACTCCTCAGCCCGAGTGATGGGGCTGATGCGGCGGACGCCCTGTCAGCCAGCAGAAAGTCCAGGGTATGAGACCAGGGGCCACACCCACCTCCTGATCCTAGGATCCTAGTTTCTCTCCACCACGCCTTTTCTCTCACAAGACAGACTGTTCGATGCACCCTTCTCAAACCTCAAACCCAACCCCTTAGGGTGCACACACTTCTCTGCTGTCAGCCCATCTCACACACACACACACACACACACACACACACACACACACACTCTCACACACATGCACGCGCACACGCACACTTGTACGCACACACGCTGGTGCCTGTCCCCAACACAGCATTTCTCTCCTTTACCGCCTTGTCTGAATGCCGAGCCTCAGCCCCAGACTTACCCTGAATTGGGGTCGTGGCTCCTCCACAGCTTCCCCAGGTGAGTCTAGTGTCCCCCACTTGTAGGCTAGCTCTGCCTCCCTCCGTTTCCACTCCTCCAAGAACAGAGTGGACCAGATCACATTGAAGAGAGCAAAAACAACACAGGAAACATCCCGGCTTGTCTGCAGGTGACAGAGAGTCAAGTTAGAGAAAGCCATCTTATAGAGGAAGGCCAAGGTCCTGGCCCAATACCCCCCACCCGGTACCTGATCGGCCTCAGTGAATGTATACAGAACAGAGCCAAAGACGGCAGGGTAAACCATTGCCGACGTGTAGAAGCCCAGCCAGGCAAAATACATGGCGATCTTCACCCCAAAGTAGTCACAGATGTCATCTGCCAGGGGACAAGAGTTTGGGTCACCTCCAAGTGTCTCCTGGGACCCCAGCCCACTCCTCAGCTATGGAGCCACACCTAAAGGCTGGTTTTCACATACGGCCTGCACCCAGGACTTCATGAGACGATTCAGAATGCGCTGCTCGTGGACCGGAAACACCTGCTGAATGATGCCTCGGGCAGCCAGCTCGGGGACTGCAGGAGGAGGGGGAGAATGACCCATGCACCATATGACAAACCCGGGCAACCCACCTTGGCAGGAACCAAAGTCATAGCTTTTTGCCTCTTCTGAAGCCCATAGGAGGCTGGGAGGGTGGCTTGGTGGGGAGGGAGCCTGCTTAGCATACAAAGGCCGATCGTGGCCCACATACTGTGGAGATGGATTTGAGAGGGGCAGAGATGGCCGAAAACCGGGATGGTTTCCCTCGGTTTTGTTGTTGTTTTTCTCTTTTTGGCTTTTTCGAGACAGGATTTTTCTGTGCAGCTTTGGAACCTGTCCTGGAACTCACAAAGATCCGCCTGCCTCTGCCTGCCGAGTGTTGGGATTTATATAGGCCTGCACCACCACCGCCCAGATAGGAGGGTTTCAAAATGTAGTCAAGGCAGATCTTGAACTAACTAGCTCTCTGCCTCAGCCTCCTAGGGTCTGGGAGGGCACAGACATGTCCCCACCGCTCCCATCAAGAGTATTTTAGAATCTAACCCCATTTCTGGTCGTGAACGTCTAAGAAATGACACTGGCTGGTATAAAAAAGTGAACCTGTGAAAACTGGTTTTCCAGTGGGAATCACCACCTGGTAAGTGGACGCTGTCCGTGGTCCTGCCTGCACCTTCTCGGGTACCTTCATCCTTGCGCTAGGTGCCGGGCGGAGGCCACGCCCATTGTGTTCATTGGATGCCCAACTCTTCCCTAACCTCTGATTGGATGCCCGTAAGCTCCGCCCTCCTACACCTATCTTCTGACACGCCCAGCTCTCCGCAGGTAATTGGATGGCGGGCTCGCCCTGCTCACTGATTGGCTGGTCCTCCAAGAAGCGCACGTTGTGCAGCGCCTCCCCCTGCTTGGCCCGTAGGTTCTGCAACCAGAAGCGGATGATGCTCTGCCGTTCCTGTGGGGAGATGGGTGTGAGCTCGGTACGCTACGCGGGGCCATGGGCACAGAGACATGGGCGCAGGGCAGTCACCTGCGATGTAAAGAAGCGCAGCTCGCTCTCCACGTTCTCGTAGATGAAGTCCTCTTCGCAGGAGAAACTGCGGGTGCCCCCGCCAAACTCGGCCTTCACTGCCTTGCGCAGACCCAGCTCGTCAGCCCCCCGGAGCAAGCTGTGGACAGGAGAGGGCATAGAGGGTTCATCATGGAACCTCAGCTCGCCATCACCAAGCTAAGGATAATTCGCGAGCCACATCTTGGGACAAACAAATGGTTGACACAGTTGGCCCTCAGAGGAGCAGGGAGCCCAGTGACAAGGCCAGAGGGAGGCGGAGGTAGAGAACTTGCCTCTCATACGTGGCTGTGACGAAGAAGGCATAGGCACGCGTGTGGCGGTGGTGGCGGACTTGCACGATCAGCTCGGGGATGCCCACTCGGATGTGATTCAGCAGCCACAGAAGCGTGTGGTCATCAGTGGTGTCTGCCAGGGGGCACAGGGGCCGATAGGTCTGTCCTCGAGAGGGACCCAGGACGGCCCCCTCCACATTTCGGCCGAAGCCACAGAGGCTGCATCCAGGCCCAGGGTAGGCAGGTGTGTATACCTGGGAAGGTCATGAGCACGTCACAGTCCTCGGTGGGAACCGTCTTCATCCATGCCTTGTGGGACACCAGGTAGCGGCCAGCCTGCAGGAGCCTCTTCCCAAACAGTTTATCTGTGGGGCAGCGTGGCAGGTCGGGCAGAGATCAGGCCTGTCCCGGGACTGACTGGCCTTCACCGGATCTCTCGCGGATCTCTCACGGGCCAAGCACATCCCCTGCATCAACCAGGCCCCTCCCCCTCGGTCCTGCCTTAGAAATCTTACTCATGGTTGAGGCCCAGCTCCACCTCCCAAACCACAATCAATGGGGTGTCCACAAGCAGCCTTGAGCGCTTCTTGGTATGACAGCGTCGACGTTAAAGCAGCCGCACGAACAGAGTGAAGTCCTTACCCCCATTTCACAGGTCACCAAACTGAGGCCCAGAGAGTATACCCAGGCGCTCAAGGTCACCTAACCAAGGTGGGATTCGAACCCAGGACCGTGGGAGTCCATACCCTGTTTCCCTGTGCTGGGAGTCTCCAGATGGCAGGGCTCACACAAGCCAAGCTGGGACCATCAGAGGGGCGTGTCCAGGTCCCGGCACCGGGGACCCCCAGTGCAGACGCATTGCCCCCCCCCCGTGCGCTGCGCCGCAGCCGCAGCGCCACGAGGAGCGGCCCCCGGGCCTCACGCCAGGCTCTGGATGTGTGACCCCGATCGGCGTGCCCTGAAGCCCCGGGGCGCACCCGTGCACCTGTCCCGGTGCCACCCGCAGCTCA